GGCGAAGGTTTGCTCAAGGTCGGCTATGACCTGGTTAGCCCATTTGGACTTGACCACGAAGTCATCTACGTAGGCCTCAATGGTTCACCTGATGAGGTCACCAAAACACTTGAGCATACAATGCTGGTATGTAGCCCTAACGTTCTTCAGACCGAACGGCATTGTGGCATAGCAGAACAATCCGAATGGGGTGATGAAAGACATCGCGAGCTAGTCGGACTCTTTCGTCATGATCTGATGGTACCCGGAGTACGCATCAAGGAAGCAAAGGGTTTCGCACCCTGAGGTGGAGTCGACTACTTGGTCTAAGCATGGCAAAGGGAACGGATCCTTTGGGCATGCTTTGTTGAGATCCATATAGTCAACACACATCCTCCATTTCCCACTCTTTTTCATACAAGAATGGGATTTGCTAACCACTTGGGGTGGTATACTTCCTTGATGAACCCGACTGCCAAAAGCTTTGCGATCTCCTCACCGATGGCCCTGCGCTTTTCCTCGTCGAAGCGACATAGGCGTTGTTTCACCGGCTTGGAGCCTGGCTTGATCTTCAAGGTATGCTTGGCGACTTCCCTCGGAATGCCTAGCATGTCCGGGGGTTTCCACGCAAAGATGTCTTTGTTGGCGCAGAGGAAGTCATTGAGCGCGCTTTCCTATTCGGAGGAAAGCGCAGTGCCAATGCGCACCACCTTGCTCTTGGAGCCGCTAGGGTCTATGAGGACCTCCTTAGCGCCCTCCGTCGGCTCAAAAGACCTGGTCGACCGCTTGGGGTCGGATGCTTCTTCGGTGACCTCCTTCCTGATGGCCGCAAGCTCCTTGGAGGCGATGATTGTCGCGGCATGATCGCAACAGTCGACCTCGCACTTGTAGGCACGCTAGAAGGAGGTGCCGACGATGATGACCCCGCCTGGGCTCGGCATCTTCAGCTTTAGGTAGGTGTAGTTGGGGACGGCCATGAACTTCATGTGGCATGGACGTCCCAGGATGGCATGGTAGGTTCCAAGGAACCCCACCACTTCAAAGGTGAGGGTCTCCATCTTATAATTGGATGGATCCCCAAAGGTGATGGGCAGATCGATCTACCCAAGTGGCACGGCCTGCTTTCCAGGTATGATGCCATGGAAAGGTGCTCCGGTCAACCGGATGCGCGATCGGTCGATGCCCATGGCGTCGAGGGTCTCGATGTACATGATGTTGAGACCGCTGCCTCCACCCATCAGTACTTTGGAGAGCCGCTTCATGCCGATGATCGGGTCGACCACAAGCGGATATCTCCCTGGCTATGGGACGTTCTCTGGGTGGTTGGTCCGATCAAAGGTTATGGCGGACTCCGACCACCGGAGGAAAGTAGGCACGGCCGGGTCGGCCGTATAGACCTCGCGGTGTGTGAGCTTCTGACGACGCTTGGAGTCGTAGGCTACCGACCCCCCAAAGATCATGAGGCAGCCATCCGGTGTTGGAAAGCCACCATCCTTCCCCTCGGCGTCGTCCGTGGTTGGGTCGGGGTCCTTCCCGTGCTCCCCCTTGTTGCAGCCTCCGGACAAGAACCGCTTCATGAGGCCGTAGTCCTTGTAAAGATGCTTGACGGGGAAGGCATGGTTCGGGCATGGCCCCTCGAGCAGCTTCTCAAAGTGGTTCGGAGTACCCTCCGTGGGCTTCCGACCCCCTCTACGGTCGGCGGCGGCCACGAGCGAGCCCTCGCGCCGCTGCTTGTTCTTCTTTTTTATGGGACGGTTGGAGGCGCCCTCCCCGGCGTCCTCGTCCCGCTTTGCCTTGACTTTGAGGCAGTCGAAGATCGCTCCGACCGCTTCCTTGCCTGAGGCGTGGCTAGTGGCGATGTCAAGGAGCTCCTTGGTGGTTCGCGGGCCCTTGCGTCCTAGCTTGTGAACCAGGCACTCGCAAGTGGTCCCAGACAGGAAAGCTCCTATCACGTTGGTGTCGGCAAAGTTAGGCAGCTCGTTGCACTACCAGGAGAAGCACTGGATCTACCCACAGAGGGTATCTCCGGCCTTCTATCGGTAGTTTTTTAGATCCCAGGGGTTCCCAGAATGCTTATACGTGCCCTAGAAGTTCCCCACGAAAATCTCTTTCAGGTTCGCCCAACTTTGGATTTTGTTAGACGGAAGGTGTTCCAACCACGTTCGTGCCGAATCGGCCAGGAACAATGGAAGGTTACGGATAATGAAATCGTCATTATCCGCCCCACCGGCTTGGTAGGCAAGCCGATAATCCTCGAGCCACAGTCCGGGTTTGTTTCCCCAGAGTATTTTGGGATGTTGGTTGGTGGTCAGTACCTTGGCGGGAAGGCGGCGTTGAGGATGTGTCGGCCGAAGGCCTGAGGTCCCGGCAAGCCAGGGCTCAGGCTTCGGTCCTCGCTATTGTCGTAGCGCCGCCCCCGTCGAGGGTGGTAGCCACGGCTGGGCCCTTCCCCCGCATCGCCGTGGGTACGCCTGCGGGCATCGAGGGTGTCGCGCGCGTCACGGCTGCGGCCGAGATGCTCATGCACCGAAACTGTGATGCGTGGCCTACCACCCTACAGCGCCTAGTGGACTAATGCGTCCTTGTTGGGTCGCTCTGAGGGGATTGCACTGGCTGGCGTCGAGCTCGCGTCGCCGAGACAGCGAGCTCTTAGCCTACTGTGCAGCCGCACGCTCGAGTAGCATGTGAATCTCACGATGGGCCCGACGCTCATCGAGAGTCGTGGCCCCGAGAAGCCCACGGAGTAGGGCTGCCGCAGCAGTGATGTTCTGGCTCTCCTGGGCGAAGAGTGGAAGGGCTTCATCTTCCGCGATGATCCTTCGGTTCACGTCGCGGGCCATGGTGCACGTGCGCCCACCGTCTCCGTGGCGCTCGATCTCCCGATTGAGCTCCACGCATTCCTGCTTGAGCTGGAGTCGTGCTTCCTTGAGCTCTAGGTGCCGGGCCTTCAACTGCTCCACCTCCAGGCGGGGTGGGGCCCCTGTCTCTCCCTTGATCTTGTCGTAGAGGTCATTCATTGGGGTAGCCTCCTCTTCATGGATGCTTTCGACGTGTCCCTCGGGGTTACCTACCATGAAACACTCACGAGAGGGGTGATGACTCCCCCTGCTGGAGTCAGAGCCAGAAGGTGACTTTGGTTCTCCCGCGAGGAGGTCGTGGAAAGACTCCATGACATATTCGTTCATCCCCACGAACTCGTCATACGTGGGGGTTGAAGGTGCGTGTTGCGCCACAGGGTGGCCAACGGTCTATGCAGCGTTGCGGAGATCGGACGGGAGCGCTGTCGGGGCGCTCTGGATGAGGTATGCCGGAGAGAGCGGCTTCCCTCCGGCAAGCCGTGCGATGACGTTGGCGAACGAGAAGGTGAGGCGGTGCAGGTCCTCCCGGGATGGTCGGGGTCCCAAGAAGGTGCCAAGCTAGCGCTCTAACCTTTAGTAGTCGAAGCCGAGGAGCTGGCTGCTCCCGGGGACATGGGCTTCCGGTGCGTGCAGCCGTAGCTCCTCAAGCGTCTCGGCGATCGTGTCGAGGCTAGCGAAGTGAGGAGGCTAAATGACGATGGGTGCCCGCGCCAGCTCTCCCTCCGTCGTGATGATGAAGTCCAGGTCCCCGAAACGCCCGTGCGCGTCCGGGACCCAGGTGATGCCGTGACTAGCCATCCGAGGAATGGTGTTGATGTCGAGACGCGCAAAGGCCCCTACCTAGGGCACCAACTGTCGGTGTTTCGAGTAAACACCAACGAGTAAATTTCTAATATTGCGTGTCTGGCCCAGATGGTGTGCTAAGAGGACACGAGGTTTATACATGTTCGGGCAGAATGTCTCTACGTCCAGTTTGTTGCTACTGCTCATGTTACTAGCACTGAAAAGTTTGTAGTAGGGGTTACAAATAGGCGAGAGAGGAACAGGTCTCAAGTCTTTGGTGGAAAGAACGAATGGGTGCCGCGAGCTCGGTCGCTGCTCGGCTATGTGTTCGAGGTTCAATGCTAGTGGTTTTTGATGTGATGCAGTGCGATGCCCCTTAATAGGACGTCCTGCTTTCCCTTTTATAGGCCAAGGGAAAGCACGGGTTACGACGGGAGAAAAAAAGGAGAACGAGAGGGAGAGGAAGTCCTTCAGAGTCGCCGGGCCTTTCCTTTCCTTTGTGTGGGACCCGCTGACATGGCAGGCGGTGACAGGGACAGCTCCACACCGGGCGCCTGTCCGCCGATGATGCCATGCCCTGGCGTTATCAGCAGGTCGTGACGTCCCACTCCGTCCCGGTGGGCGGCCCGGCGAACCAGCGTGCTGATCAGCGGCCGTACAAGGACTAGGCAGCATAGTGACCACGCGTCCGTCATGTGGGCGATGTGAGTTCCCTGGAAAGACATGTCACGGGGACGGGTCGTGTTGAGATGTGACCGCTCCCTGCACGATGCCAGAAATTTGACCTTGGGTTGTACTTTCTAGCCCATAGTGGTTGGCGGCGGCGTGAGCTTCCGTTAGGAGTCGTGCCCGAGGGATCGGGTGAGGCGGAGTCCGCCCTCATACGTCGGGAGAGGCGGAGACCGCCCTCAGACGTCGAGCGAGACGGAGCCCGCCCTCAGACGTCGGGCGAGGCGGAGCCAGCCCTCAGACGTCGAGCGAGGCGGAGCCCACCCTCAGGGGTCGGGCGAGATGGAGCCCGCGGCCTCAGTGTCGAACGAGGCGGAGCCCGTCCCCAGAGGTCGGGCGAGGCGGATCGCACGACCTTGGGATCCGGCGAGGCGGAGCCCGCGGCCTCGGTGTCGGTTGGAGCTGTAGTCGCACCTTTAACTGCCTTGATGGATTAACGTATAACGACCATTAGTCCCTACTCTTCGGGTACCCTAGTATTGGTCCCCGACAATATATTTATTTGGTAATGTTGTAACAGCATAATTTTATATGAATTTAGTTGATATTACACAAAATTAACTTAGGACAAAACTACCTATATATTACACCTATACAATATATAATGATAATGATAATCTAGTGCCATCTCTCTCGCACAGAATTCACAAATCACAACTGCTTTGCTCTGACTTTGCTGAGATGAAGGAAGTCAAAGGCCACAACAACGCTGCCGTCCAGCCTCTTCACCACGAACCTCTCCACCAGCACCGATCCGCCGCTGGTCACTTTTTCGGCGTCCTCCTCGTCCACCCACCCCTCCCTGGACTCTTCCCACCGCATCCTCTCCAACACGCTCTTGCAAACCCCCAGATGCTGCCTCGCCGCCGCCGCCTTGAACCACAAGTAAGCGTCGCCGTGCCGGCGCGAGTTCAGATCCTCCTCCGCTTCCGCGCTCCCGCCGATGTACGCCCTCATGCTAGCAAGCTTGGAGCCACCACCGCTGTACGCGTGCACCGGTTCCCAGCGCAGCTCGAGCGTCACCTCGTAGAACGCGCTGCGCTCCATCTGCTCCCGTGGCGCGACGCCGGCTTCTTTGATCAGGAAGAACGGGGAGTACCATTTCCCGACGGCGGCCGCCGTAGCTGCCACCGGGAAGGCGTAGTCGGCGAGCTGGCGCGATCGGAGCGCGGCGTCCATGCCCATGGCATCGCCGACGCCGAGATCGAATTTCCCGGTCTTGGACGCGTACACCTCCCAGTACTTGCTGCGGTAGAGCGAGGAGGGGAAGCCGTTGGCGGCGACAGCCCTGGCCGTGAACCACCCGCGCCTGCGCTGGACGATCTCCATCTGCTGGTAGACGTCGGCCGGGTCGAACGGCCGCGGCGCCACGTCCTTGATGCACCGGAAGAAGCAGCACGTCACCTTGTCCTCCTCGCGGGAGCACGCCCTGACGAGGCCCCCTGTGCTTGCCCTTGGCGATCACGGCGTAGTAGCGGTTGGACGCCAGCGGCTGGTCGGGGACCGGCACGAACACGACGGCTTCTTCCTGGACACTGGTCGTTTGGCCATTCGATACCGTGTACCGCACTTTGAGCACGCGGTCCTGCGGGAATGGGAGCTCACGCACGCGCCGGTCGGGGAACAGGCCCCAGCAGCTAGTCTCTTCATCGGCGGCACCCTTCACGACGAGGTAGCCGGAGTTCCGGCCCTCCGGCGGTGCCCCGGACGCCGCCTCCGGGTGGCTCTTAAAGAGGGACAGCGGCTTCGTCGCATACATGCTTGGCTTTTGCCTGCGTTGGCGCTTCGTGGATGCAGACGAATTGGATATGCGATCGAGCATATGAGGAAAGGAGATACTGTAGCTTGCTTGGGTGATTTGGTCCCTTGACCATGCCAACGCGTCTCTGAGCGTTAGGCATCATTCGTCCAATCAGAATAGCTAGCTAGTCTATTGGTTTTCTGAAGACCCAAAATTTGCGCGTTTGTAGTCACTCTTCCTAAACGTCAGGTGCCTAGAAATTTGATGGAAAATTGACTTATACTTCAGGCGACGCGCTGAACGTGCGGCACAAGCATGTTGTATTTTTCTCTTGTGATTTATTTATAATTTGTTAATTGTTTTGTGTAACAATATATTATTTTTTTTGTCCTTATCTTACTATAGAAAAAAATGTAAATTGTAGGCTCTATTTGGCACGGCTCCACTTCACCAGTGAAGTCGTTATTTTTTACTTCAGCTCCACGGACAGCTCCATCGGTAAATCTGAAGCAGTTTTGGTAAACCATTTGGCGAAACAGTTTTGGCCTCGTTCGCTGGTCTGAAACTTGGCTGAAACTAGCTGGTTGTGTGAGAGAGAAATACTGTAGCGGCTGAAAGATGTATAGTAATTTGTGAGAGGAACCAGCCGGCTGGTCTGAAAAAATCAGACCAGCGAACGGCGCCTTTACATTTAGAGCTCCTTAAATCATGCTCTCCCAAAACCCAATGCAGGGCCCACCAGGGCAAGGTGGAGCCACTATTTTCGGCTCCACCCTCTATATACCCTCTCTAAGAGCACGATTTAAGGGGCTCCTTTGGTGAAGCCGTTTTATTTTACCTTTCGGCATAAAACGGCTCCAAACGCCTTCAGGAACCGATGGAGAAACAGTGCCAAGCGGGCCCTAAATTGTCTTTGTGTCAACATATATTATGGTCCCATTTGTCACGGCTTCTCCAACGGCTTCGGGAGCTGTTTGGAGCCGTTTTTTATTAAATGGGGTAAAACAAAACGGCTTCACCCAGGAAGTCCCTTAAATCGTGTTCTCACAGATGCTTAAGGTGGGATGTAGCAAAAAATAGTGGCTTCACCCGTCTTCACTTCGTCTCAGTGGGTTTTGCATGGGGTTATGTGAGAGCATGTTTAAAAAGCTCTACATGTAAAGCTGTTTTACCAAACGGTTTACCAAATCAACTCTAGCTCCCCCGATGGAACTGTTCTCGGAGCTGAAGCAAAAAAAATGGCTCCACTAAATAAAGTGGAGCCGTGCCAAATGGGGACTATATTTTGTTAGGTTTGAAATTTTGTCTATTGGATTTTTTATTCTCGGGTCCAAATACTGTAAATTATGTCTACAGAAATTGCAACCAAGTAAAGTTGTAATTTTAACATAAAATATATGCAATAATTATCACCTAAAAGAAAGCCTGAATTTTAGCAACTCTCTTATAGAGAACAAATGATAATGACAATCATTTTAACGGCAATACCCAAATATCTTTCTGCCATTTTCTCAAGCTCAAAAACGAAGAACAATTGATTAGATTCTTTGTGGTGTGATTTGTTCATCCAAGTTCAAGTACTCGAATTAGCACGAGTGTTCACATTTTCTATAGTTGTTTCAGAATTTAATGATGTTATTATTCTCTTTAGTGGTAGACAATATGCTCATTAACAGAACATGATGGTGATTTGGTTAATCTTGATATATAGGAGTGAGTGTGCATGCATAAACAAATTGGATTGATATTATTTTTGTGACCTTGGCAATGTGCAGGTATTATTCTAGTATCCTTAAAATTTGAACAAACCTAAACTACTTTTTTACTAATCATGTGATATTAGTAATAACCCATGCCTATGCAAACATTCACAAAAAACACGCCTGTATAGTGCGATCAAACAGATAAGTTTCTTTTACGTGTGAATTAGTGCTTTGCCATGCCTTTTGTAGCAGCTTCTAGCTTCCTTTCGGTAATGAAAGCTCTATTAATCTTAAACAGTTACATCAAACTAATACAATCATTTTAAGATCAATTCTGATATCCACATAGATAGGATACATACAACCCAAGAGGGAAAACGAAGAGACAAAAATGGCATGAGATCCTATATCATATTGTAGCAAACTACGACACACAATCACCATAGCAACACCTAGACCTTGAGAAAGGTTTTACAAAACAATGCCTCCAACAAGGAAACAACATGTGCATGCACCCCCTTTAGAATGTTTCAACAGGCCAAGTTCTCTATTTTCACCCTAGAGAGAGATTAGATTTTTGAACTACAAGCAATGCATGAACAAATTGGATTGATATTGTTTCCGTTACTTGTGGCAACATGCGGGTATGTATTATGATGCCACCATTAAATTTGAACCAACCTAAACTACTTTCACTATCAAGAATCATTCTAAGAGACAGGTGAAGGGACTGTGACGCCTAAGAGGGGGGTAAATTAGGCAACTTAAAAATCTACTTCTAAACTATGGCCTCTTTTTCTAACCCTAGCAAAACCTATGCAAAAGATAAACTATCTAAATGCGCAACTACGGTTTTACTAGTGTGTTGCTATCTCTACCAAAAAAGGAATAATACAATCAATGTAAATGCGGAAGCTAAAGAGCAAGGTAGAGATATGCAAACTCCCGTCGACGACTCCGGTATTTTTACCGAGGTATCGAGAAGCGTGCAAGCTTCCCCCTGGTCCTCATTGGAGCCCCTCGTAAGGAATCCCTCGCAAGGGCCAAGCTCCTGGTCGGGTAACTCCGTGGATAGCCTCGGGCCTTCCCCACACGCAGGTGGGTCTCCGACGTGCCTTCCGGCAAGCCTCTCCCGGATGCTCCCTGCCGTCTTCACTATCAAGCTTCTGGCCGAAACGCCGTGGGCCTTGTTCTCTCCGGTACACGGTGGCGGCCACACCACAAACACGGTTGGTGTGATCTCGCAAGACTACAAGCCCCTCCGATGTACAACAATGGTGCGCGCAAGCACCGAGTGGTAAGAGGTATGCAAACCTCACTAAACACTAGGCCTAAACCTAGAGCAAGCGCATAAGCGGTGGTCTAATTAAGCTAAGCACCTACGCTAATCACCTAATGAATCACTAAGCACTATGCAAGTGGAAATCACTAAAATGGTGTATCAACACCCTTGATATGTTTCCTCAGCTCCACACACCTCAAATGGCCGGTTAGGGGTTGTATTTATAAGCCCCACTGAGAAAGTAGCCGTTGGAGACGAAGTCTCGCTTTTCTACTACTGACCGGACGCTGAAATCGTCCTGACCGGACACGTCCGGTCGTCCCGACCGTTGGAGCCGCGATCAACTGATCGGACACTGCCAGCGTCCGGTCGCAGTTTCACCGCTCTGGAACCTCTCTGTACTTGACTGAACTTTGCTGTCCTGCGTCCGGTCGATCTGCCGCCAGCGTCCGGTCCAGCGTCCGGTCGCGCCTGTTGCCGAGCCTCTTGATCGCAGCGTCCGGTCACTTTCTTCCAGCGTCCGGTCCAGCGTCCAGTCACTTCTGTGAGCTCGTTTCTTCATGATCTTGCATACGGCTTGGTTCCTATCTTCATGCTTAGACTTTGCTTGATATCTTGGGTCTTCTCTTGTGCTCCTAGGGTCTTGCTTATGGTGTTGATCATCGGATCATCACGTCGCCTTCGTCCAAGTCACGTCTTGCATCCTATTGAACTACAAAACAATCACTTGTAAGTTCATTAGTCCAATTTGGTTGTGTTGGTCATCAAACACCAAAATCCAAAGTAAATGGACCAAGGTCCATTTTCCTTACAATCCCCTCCTTTTTGGTGATTGATGACAACATGACCAAAGCAAGTAAATAATAAAAAAATTTGAAATTTAAAAACTACCTACTTGCTAGGATGCAATGCAAGGGGCAAGATTATGTGATACCAAAAGATACTACTTGTAAAACTAAAAGATACTACATAAAAACGTATCTTGCCCTTGCAAATGTTCCCATGTGGCATTATGGATTTATGACTTGCTTCCTACATATTCTTTCCATTACATAGGCAATCCATAATCCACTATCCTCCATTTCTCGGACCATTACCACTTATAAATTATTAATGCTTGCTTTTGGTCCTCTAAATTCCTCCCCTTTGGAATCAAACACCGAAAAGGAAGACATTAGTAACACAAGGGAGGGTCAAACTTTGTGAGCCTTTATTTATATAGTGGAATAGGTCACAAAATTTAACTCTCACATTATATAGATTAAGCTCCCCCTAAATATATGCATACATATGATAGAAAGCAAAGTATATGCCTAATTAGCAAGTTATTGCTCAAGGGAATTTAATCTATATAATGCATGGAGAAAGCATATAAATATCAAAATAAAATCAACATGGTGATATCGGTTTAGAAATACCATATGTGGAAAACCTATTTGATTTTTACCACTTGCAATAGGTGGTGGATATTTGAAGTATGATGCTTAACTCTGGGGACTCCATTTTCCTTGCAATGAGACAACTACACACATGATAAGCTTGAAAAAGGTGTTAGTCTCAAGGCATCCAACTTGTAGAGTACCCTCCCCCTAAATTTATGCACACAAGTATGGAATACTTGTAGAAAATATGCACATTGATTTTAGAATAAAAAATACTACTTGAAAGATAACATCACATGAATGTGAGGGTCATTTTCGAAAGCGATATTCGGGAGAAATTATCTACAATTTGGACTTTGGCACATATTAGATGAACAATTGAAGGACAAGCTATGTGTCGTGCTTCTAATTTTAAACCATGTAGGTTTGCTCCAAGGGTTAAGAATGAAACCGAGCAAGCCTACCATATGATATACCTAGTGTATGCATGACAAGAGATATAAGAATTCAAATGCAAACCTAGGCATGAAGAGTAACTAGATGCTAAAAGATACCAATTGTAGGAAAATTTAAATCTAATACCAATTGAAGTAAATTGAATCTAGTTACCTAACATGGGAAGGGGAACTTGGGTCCATAGTATTCACTAACCCACTTGGCAATGATTTTGTCCATCATGATGCACCCCATGAAATACATCCATACTTTGCCAAGTCTCCAAATTTCTCGTCGTCCATTGGACTTCTTACTTCCCTTTCGGGATCCAAACCTTCTTGGTGCTCTTCATGTTGGAAATGATTTCCTTTGGCACCCAAAAGCGTTTGACCCCATTGTTGGCTTGCTTGTGCACCTTGATGGCCACCACCTTGTCATTTTTCTTCTTCTTCAAGAGATAAGGTTTGGAGGCCTTCTTGTCCACCTTGTTGGTGTAGGTGTTGGAGAGCTTGCTTATTTGCTTCTTCTCTTTCTTCTTTGCTCCTCCCCCATTCTTCACCTTGCACTCATAGGACTTGTGACCTTCCTTGTGGCACACATAGCAAACCACGGTTTGTCCTTCATCAAGCTTCTTCACTCCCTTGATGGTGTTATCTTGATGAAGTTGAGCTTGCTTCGCCTTGCCTTTCACTTGAGTCAAGTCCTTGGTGAGGCGAGCTACTTCTTGCTTGAGTTGCTCATTCTCCTTTGCAACCTCTTGTGTGCATGTGTCTACAACAACTTTCTCAACACAAACTTGGTTGCACAAAGGTGAGTCTAAACATAAATCATTACAAGTAGAGGCATCCTTTTTAGACATGTTAAAGATAGAACTTTTCTTTTTAGATGCCTTGGTGGGGGTTGTACTAATGGCTTCAAGATTAGCAACTTTATTAGTTAGCTCATCACAATGTTTGCACATGGTTTCCATTTTTGCAAGCAAACTTTTATAAGCATCTTGTGAGCTAGCTAACTTTTCTTTTAGTTTTTCATTTTTCTTTGCAAGTTGCTCATCACTGATTGTGCATTCATTTGTTGTTGCACTAGCCTTAAGTTGCTCAATTTTAGTAGATAGTTCAACAATGAGATTAGCAAAGTTCTCATATTATTCAAGCAAAGTTTTGTATGCTTCTTGTGAACTATCTAGCTTTTCTTTTAAACTTTTGAGCTTCTTTTGTTGACTAGTGCAAATTTTAGCATATTTAAGATTTTGTTGCATAATTTTATCATAAGAAGGCAAATCATCATCACTATCACTCTCACTAGAGGATGAGCTTTCATTACCTCGTGCCATAAGACACACACGTGAAGAGCTTGATGATGAGTACTTGCGGCCTCGCCTCTTGTGATGTTATTCTTCTTCACTTGAAGAATCATTCCATGACCTTATTGATGTGAGGGCTTGGTTCTTACATGCCTTCTTTTTTGTCTTGGGTGTGGGCTTGTTTGGACAAACTTCCACAAAGTGCCCCAACTCGCCGCATCCATAGCATCCTCTCTTTCTTTGCTCATTTCTTTGATTGGTGAAAATGAGATCTTGGATTTGGATGGGCACACCCTTGACATTGAGCCTTTGGATCATCTTCTCCACCTTGTTGATTAGTTTGATTGATTCTTCATCAAGGTTGGAGGTGGAGGAGGAAGATTGATCATCATCACTTGATTCATCATCATCATCATCCTCATTTTCTTCTTCATCTTCACTTGAGGAGCTTGAGCTTAAGCTTGTCTCAACTTGCTTACCCTTCATCTTCTTTTTCTCGCTACATGCGAGAGCTTTGCCTTTGCTTGATAAAGAAGCTTCTTCTTAACCCATCATACGTGACATTTCAAATGCCACTAACTTGCCGATGACTATGCCCGGGGTCATGGTGCTCAAGTCCTCCATATTATGAAGGATGGTGATGATGCTTGCATATTTCTTTTGTGGTACCACGGAGATGATCTTCCTCACGATGTCCACATCATCTAGCTTTATTAATCCTATTGAACGGAGCTCATTGATAATTAGATTCAAACGACAATACATATCATGAACAAGCTCATCATCATTCATTGTAAAGGAATCATAATTTTGTTTAGCTAGACAATGTTTTTGCTCACGGACATTACTCGTGCCGTCATGGAGCTCTTGGAGTTTTAACCAAATTTCATGTGCCGTATTTAAAGTGAATACTTGGTTAAACACATCCATGCTAAATGATTCAAACAAGCAATTCTTAACTCTAGCATTGAAATGCATTTCTTTTTCATCACTCTTTGTGGGTTTTTCGGGATTCTTGATGGGTTTCATCCCGTCACGAGTGACTCTCCATATACCTAAATCAACCGTCTCAAGGTGGCAAGCCATTATAGCCTTATAATAAGGAAAGTTAGTGCCGTCAAAGTGCGGAGGCCTAGAGATATCTATCCCAATCACTCTAAATAGCGTCGGCTCAAAGACGGTTAAGCCAAAGGTTCAAAATGAGCCAACCGGCTCTGATGCCAAGGGCGGATGAATTAGGCAACTTAAAAATCTACTTTTAAACTATGGCCTCTTTTTCTAATCATAGCAAAACCTATGCAAAAGATAAACTATCTAAATGTGCAACTACGGTTTTGCTAGTGTGTTGCTATCTCTACCGCAAAAGGAGTAATATAATCAATGTAAATGCGGAAGCTAAAGAGCAAGGTAGAGATATGCAAACTCCCATCGATGACTCCGGTATTTTTACCGAGGTATTGAGAAGCACGCAAGCTTCCCCCTAGTCCTCATTGGAGCCCCTCGCAAGGAATCCCTCGCAAGGGCCAAGCTCCCTGTCAGGTAACTCCGTGGATAGCCTCGGGCCTTCCCCACACGCAGGTGGGTCTCCAACGTGCCTTCCGGCAAGTCTCTCCCGGATGCTCCCCGCCGTCTTCACTATCAAGCTTCCGGCCGAAACGTCGTGGGCCTTGTTCCCTCCGGTATACGGTGGCGGCCACACCATAAACGCAGTTGGTGTGATCTCGCAACACTACAAGCCCCTCCGATGTACAACAATGGTGCGCGCAAGCACCGAGTGGTAAGAGGTATGCAAACCTCACTAAACACTAGGCTTAAACCTAGAGCAAGCGCATAAGCGGTGGTCTAATCAAGCTAAGCACTTCGCAAAGCACCTACGCTAATCACCTAATGAATCACTAAGCACTATGCAAGTGGAGATCACTAAAATGGTGTATCAACACCCTTAATATGTTTCTTCAGCTCCACACACCTCAAATGGCCGGTTAGGGGTTGTATTTATAAGCCCCACTGAGAAAGTAGCCATTGGAGACGAAGTCTCGCTTTTCTGCTACTGACCGGATGCGTCCGGTCGTCCCGACTGTTGGAGCCGCGATCAACTGATCGGACGCTGCCAGCGTCCGGTCGCAGTTTCGCCGCTCTGAAACCTCTCTGTACTCGACCGGACTCTGTTGTCCTGCGTCCGGTCGATCTGCCGCCAACGTCCGGTCGTGCCTGTTGCCGAGCCTCTTGATCGGAGCGTCCGGTCACTTTCTGCCAGCGTCCGATCACTTCTGTGAGCTCGTTTCTTCATGATCTTACGTACGGCTTGGTTTCTATCTTCATGCTTGGACTTTGCTTGATATCTTGGGTCTTCTCTTGTGCTCCTAGGGTCTTGCTTATGGTGTTGATCATCGGATCATCACGTCGCCTCGTCTAAGTCACGTCTTGCATCATATTGAACTACAAAACGATCACTTGCAAGTTCATTAGTCCAATTTAGTTGTGTTGGTCATCAAACACTAAAATCCAAAGTAAATGGGCCAAGGATCCATTTTCCTTACAACAGGTATTTGATATTTTTTTTACAAAGGTAGGCATTTTGTCAAATAATTTCTGTTAATGACATTTATAAAGGTGGTTGGCTTGCCCACGTGCCTCTGTAAATCGATTAACAGTGACAGATATCTTAAAATGCATGTGTTTGCTAATAATTTTTATAGAGGCGGCCACAACTTTCATCGGTCACAACATCTCTTTACCAACAAACTATATATCCACATATATGGCGTTATGTTTTTATAAACATTTCATAATCGTGTATTGAATATTTCAGGCTCTAAATGGTTCTAAATAAAAAAGTTACAACCACAAAGTTTATATCTTGTCAAGCTCTACTATTTTGATATAGATTGTGTCTTTGCTCGAGATAGTTTGATAACTTCAAAAAAGCTGAATCTCAAGATCGAGTTTTAAAATGAATATTTGAGACTCTATTTTTTTAGATTAAAATTTGTCAACTGCAGAGTTGCAGATTGCATTGACAACTATAACTTTGATCTAGATCATGTCAATGTTTGATGTTGTTCGAAATTTCTTAATTTTAAATTTCAAAACATTGGAACATAAAATGAATATCTAGGAATCTAAATGACTTCGAATAATAAAAAAATATTAACTACAAAATTGTAGATCATATTGAGAAATACACTTTTGTGTATATACCATGTCAATATTTGAGGTTGTTCAAAAGTTCTAAATTTTAAATTTCAAGATCTTAGAGCTCAAAACCATTTGTTTGGACTCTAAAGAGTTTTGAATAAAAAAATTATCAACTACAAAATTGTAGATCACGTCAAGATCTAAAATTTTGGTATAAAGTTTAGTCCATATCACATCGTATGTTGGACATATGCATGGAGTATTAAATATAGACTAAAAAATAACTAATTGCACAACTACTTTACGAGACGAATTTTTAAGCTTAATTAGTCCATGATTTGACAATGTGGTGCTACAGTAAACACGTGTTAATGACGAATTAATTAGGCTTAATAAATTCGTCTCGCGGATTAACGAGGACTTATGTAATTTATTTTATTATTACTATCAAACACTCTTATGTGACACCCATATGACACCCTTAAACTTTAGCCCTTCAATTTAAACACCACCTAATTTACCCTCTTCTGTGACACAAGCGCAAAGAGCAAGAGTTGCGCTGAATATCATGCATGCGTGCATTCACAGCTGCTTTGCTCTGACTTTTTTGAGATGCACAAAGTCAAAGGCCAGAACCACGGTGCCATCCAGCCTCTTCACGACGAACCTCTCCACCAGCACCGATCCGCCGGCCACCTTCCCGGGATCCTCCTCCTCGTCCACCCACCCGCCCCTGTACTCCTCCCACCGCATCCTCTCCCACACGCTCGTGCACAGCCCCACCCGCTGACCCGTCGCCGCCGCCCTGAACCACACGTACGCGTCGCCGTGCCGCGAGTTCCCCGCCTCCTGCTTTGCCTCCACGCTCCCGCCGATGAGCGCCTTCTTGCTGCCCAGCTTCTTCGGGACGCCGGCGTGAAGAACGTGCACCGGCTCCCAGCGCTGCTCGAGCGTCACCTCGTAGAACGCGCTGCGTTCCATCTGCTCGCGTGGCGCGACGCCATCTTCTTTGACGAGGAAGAACGGGGAGTACCATTTCCCGACGGCGGCGTCCGAGAGCTGGCGAGACCGGAGCGCGGCGTCCAGGCCCCGGGCCTCGCCGATTTGGAGGTCGAAGCTCTTGGGCTTGGACGCGTACACGCGCCAGTACTTCTTGCGGTACAGGAAATAGGGGAAGCCGTCGGGAGCGACGGCCCTCGCCGTGAACCGCCCGCGCCGGCGCTGCACGATCTCGATCTGCTGGTAGATATCGGCCGGGTCGAACGGCCGCGGGTCCACGTCGTTGATGCACCGGCAGAAGCAGCAGGGGACCATGTCCTCCTCCGTGGAGCACGCCCTGACGAGGCCCCTGTGCCTGCCCGTGGCGATGACGGGGCAGTAGCGGTTGGACGCCAGCGGCTGGTCGGGGACGGGCACGAACACGACGGCGTCGGCGTAGGTGGTGCTGCTCTCCCCGTGGTGCTCCGTGTACCTCACCGTCAGCACGCGGTTCTGCGGGAACGGGAGGTCCCGCACGCGCGACCCGCCGCAGGTGCCCCAGCAGCACGTCTCGTCGTCACTGCCCTCGTCGTCGGCGCCCTTCACCACCAGGTAGCCGGAGTTCCGGCCCTCCGGTGGCGGCCGCGACGCCGCCTCCGGGTGGCTCTTGAACAGGGACAGCGGCTTGGTGGCGTACATTCTGATTTCTGGTTAAGCTGATGATTTCGCGTACATTCTGAGTTTGTGTTGATATAAAGATCGATCAAGACATGTATATGTACATTGTATATTTGGCGACGGATACGACAGCGTTGACGAAAGATCCTATGAAATATTTTATGGATCTTATTACTAGCCGGTGATATACTAGAATAAAGATGAGATTAAAAATCTGCTCACTGGACCGTATGGAAACGCGTCGTTGACTTGACTTCTCGTCGTTTTGAGTTTCTGATTGTTGAGTGATGAGAAATTGCCGGTGACGTGAGGAGCTTTGAAACTCAACCAACACCCTTGAAACTTCTGCTGCGTCTACAGTGTTTCGCTGAGAAGAAACCAGAATTCTCAACCAGAATCAGAGACTTGAGATCCTTTGCTACAAGATCATCAAAGATAAACATCTATTAGGAATATGGCTTCTGTGTGTAGTGAAACTGCCTCATAGTTCTAGGTTGAGTTTAAGCTCCTGATGATGAACCCATGATATCTCCTTTGCTTGGAGACGCATCTGATGACTGAGACGAAGACTAGATTAAGATGATAATTTAATACAATTTTGTGCTTATAAGTCGAAGCTCAACAATGCTAACAATCCCCACACAGCAGACAGCACACACAAATCATTATCGGTCCAGAAGTTAAAAACGCTGGCATGGTTGAACAGGGTATAAATGGTGAGACACACTGGTTTGATAAAACACATTGGTTAATGGTTACTGCGTCAAATAAGATTGCATCGCCTGCAAAATAAAATTAGTGATAGGTTGATATAAGGCGGCAATTCCATTAGCAAACTTTACTATAACAACCGGTTGGTCAACAGAATGGGAAAATAAAAGGTACAGACTTAATTGGATTTTATTGGATCACAAACATATCAATCATGTCTATGACTAACATAAATGAACAATCTTTCTTAGAATACATGCCTTTTTTGTTTATCAGGAGTAACACCAAGATACAAATCTGAACTCAGACGGAGATGGCTAATGGTACAGTTGTACAGATGACTACCATTGAGTCAGCATTTCCAAGAACGTCACTCATGCTTGCATTAAGATATCTCCCAAGGTAAGACCAAACATAGTTGACACGGAATGAGTTCGACATGGATGGAAAACAGTGCATCCATTGATGAGACCTTCTGACCTTCAGGGTATACAGAGTTGGTAGCAGTATATTTTCACTACTCAGCCATGAGCCACCAATGTGGATTAACTTGACACTGGCTTCCTCATGATCCGGTTTGCTGCCTACATCACTTCTTATAAGTATGCTGCCTTATTAGAGAGTCAATTCAAGTTTCCAGTTCCACATTGCCTTCCTCAAGACAAAGCTAGGGAACAGCCTATTCAATTCATAAAATCGCGTCCTCCAGGCTTGCTTCATACATGCATTAAGCTTGGGAAGAAGGAAATGAAGCAACCTCAAGAGGACAAAGGAGCTAGCCAATGCAAGACACGTATCTTGATGAAGTAACCGGTCTGGTGATCTTGCCCATGATAACAGAGAATCCTCCTTTTCAGTCTTTTTGTCATGATCAATTATAGTAACTGTATCCTGCATTCTCTCCAGGGATGTGGCGTCCAATGACACAGGATTCAGGCCTTCAGAATTCCAAAAGGAAGGTCAAATCTAGGAAAACTTTATGGAGAGGTAATTAAACGCTAGAGTGGCTCAAGCTGTGGGATGTGAATCCTACTAAAATACCACCATATCTACAGTTCTAGGAAAAATGCATGCTAAATCTGCAGTGCATGGCATCTGAATGGTTAAGGTGCAGCAGGAAATACTCAGCCTTTTGTTAAACTTAGTAGATTACAGTAAATATTGAGACGAGAATCAACACTTTCACAAAATTCTGAACTTTGAGCAATAATACCTGTAACATCTTTATAGAACATAGCAAGGGAATTCATGGCCCGAGATCCATGATAACGCACACGCACTGTAGAGTTCAGAAGGAAAATCGTCGGGAATGCACGGACTCCATACCTTGACAATACTCTGCAATCCAGATATTGAAGTTGAGTTGCATACCAAATATAGTAAAATCTAGCTGCAGTATTTATCTCATTTAGAAAGACGCACCTTGGTTTGATATTAGATTCTTCAAAAGAAAAATGAGCAATTGTTGGGAAAAAGGATGACAGCTTTTGAAAATCTGTCCTGAAAATTTTAGAAAAAGGACACCACGAAGCATAAAAAAGAATAGCGACAAAATCTTCCCTGTTCTGCAGCACAAGTGCTACTGCCTTTTGCAGCGCCCCATCATCCCCCTGATACATAAAAATGAAGGGTGAAGTAACAGACACAAAGAGTAGTCATTCAAAATTTGAGAACAAAATCAAAGTCCAAGAAGCATGACTAGTAGTGTAGTTTGGCCAGTCAGCTTTTGTATATAAATCTGAATGTACAAGAAACAAAGGGGGAATATTCAATATACTGCCAAGGAATTGGTAAAAAGTGGAAGCCTACCTAACTTATATTGGTGCCCTCTAAAATGTTGCATACGCTCTTCTATGCAGCAGATGATCAAAACGAGTTGTTGACAAAACTCAATCTGTTGTATTTAATTTAAGGCCCTGTTTGGATCCATTAGCTGCTAATAGTTCATATCTGCTATTAGCTAGTTTGGTCCAACTAGTGGAATAGATGTTAGTTGGGTATTCACCTAATAATTAGCTAAACTATTAGCTAGACCTGTTTGGATCAAGAAGCTAATTATTAGCAGCTAACTACTAGCTATATGGATCCAAACAGGGCCTAACTTTTGATGGCAGATAGCAATTGATAGACATTCCATGGAGAAGAAAACATGCACTTAATTAATAATGGGCATATTTATCATGATGGTGTGTGCATACAAAATAAAAGAGATTCCATGTTCAGACTAGCTTTTGCGTGTATATCAAACAGAAATGGAAGTCAAACCCTGAAGGTGGTACAAAATCAACAACAACAACAACATAGCCTTTCAGTCCCAAGCAAGTTGGGGTAGGCTAGAGTTGAAACCCACCAAGAGCCCCAAGTCACGGTTTAGGCACTTCAATAGCTGCTTTCCAAGCACTCCTATTCAAACATAGATCTCTAGGTATATCCCAAGCTTTCAAATCTCTTTTTATTGCCTCCCCCCATGTCAATTTCGGTCTTCCTCTACCTCTCCTCATATTATTAGCTTGGCTTAGGATGAAGGTGGTACAAAATAAATAAAGAAATGCTACTCATTTTAAATCTGGGCATATATCTACTACAATCAGTCCAGGCCTCCAGGGTGTCCAGCACAGATCCAACATAAGAGTCCTGCTGAACTGGAATGAACTAAAAGATCATGGATAGTCATAGGTAACACTAACAGAAAGGAATCTCTGTTCTTACAGTCAGGCAGCTATAAGTCATCTCTGGTGTCATCGAATTACTAACTAGTAACTACCAGCACCACAAGCATCAATACCCAAGACATTCAGCAGAATATCCGGGGAGGCAGTTGCAGGGACACCAAATGCTTAAGCTTTGAAGCCAACTGATCCTAGTTGTTTTTTTTTTTCAGTCCAATAGTCAGGAATGGCGGAACCCTGCCATGGACACTGAGTTCAATCAGTTTTGGCATCACGTTGAAACTACTGAACATCGTCTTGGAAAGACCGAAAAAGAACGCCTTGTACTTGTAAATTGTAAAGCCGCAATATATGAAGAATTCATCATGGGCAGAGCTTAGATCGAGCATTAGCATGGTATTCACGGCTTCAGGAGTCAATCAAATCACAAAAGGTGGATAGAAGCAAAACGACATTAAATATTTAAATTCCCTCACTCCAAACGGCAACCTGGCAGCGCAAGCAACCGGACGCCAATTTTCTGCAAGAAGAGTGATGGGGAGATCAAACGGCAAAGCGAAACCCACCTCGACGACGCCGGCGCGGTGACCACGGAGCCCCAGGGCGTCCACCGTCCGACAGGAGGTGGACGCGTGCCGCAGGATGACGGCGGCGGCGGGCGGCGTCGGGCAGGCCGCCGCCCCCTCGCCCGCGGCGGCGAGGATGGGGAGGAGGAGGAGCGCCGCCGCCGACGACATGGCCGCGCCCGCCGCCGGAGGAAACCCTAGCAGATCGCGATCCCGCATGGCGCGAGACGTCGCGAGGCCTCCTGCTGGCTCCAACTCCGAGCGAGCGAGCGAGGAGCCGGCCGGGCCGCGGGCGCGGGAGTCGGGGTGGGGGCGTGGGACAACGGTCGGCGAGAAAGAGAGGAGAGCCCGAAACGACGGGGAGGTAGCTCGGTTGCTTTGCTGCTGTTGGGAGCTGGGAAGGTCGCCCCCGTTTCTCGCTGTCTCCCCGTCTGGGTGTGGCCGTTCGTTTCTTTTTGCTGTCTTGCTGCTATCTTTGCCTCACCGGTCTCGGCCACGCTTAGGACAGTTGATCAAAATCAAAGAGCTCGAGGTCGGATGTACGTATCCATCTCGATTCATATTCTTTTGAGTGGATTAAAGAATTAAACTTAAACTATTTTCTAACTCAATTTAATCTAACACATATGAATTAAAGTAGATAAAAATGCATCCAAACAAAGCATAACCCCCGCGAAAAAGATATAATTCTGATTAACCTATCGATACTTATTAAGTAGTAGTTTTTTATACAGATCTAACCAAACTTAAAAACTTTTTAACCTCTCGAAAAATGATAATTGCAAATTTTTTTAGACTGACGGAGCACATGATAAGATGAAACATTGGATTACACGTTTACACATCTTACAGTGAATGCCATTGATTAATGCAATGTGATCAAGTGCGACCTGAACAACCTACGTTAGGGAGATGCTCACGGCCTCCAAATTGGACACTACTCTCTCCATTCCACTACGTTTTGTTTGACTTTCATAGCGATTTGTTACTCCTGAGAGAGTATTAGGGTTTGGATAATGCTCGATTAACATTGATTAGTGACAACCATTGAGTACATATAGACACCATGGAGAGCCAGGATTGGCAGGCCCATGGCCCATGGGCTTACACTCTAACACGCCCCCACAGTCGGAACTGGGCGCACAGCGAGCATTCAGACTGGACCTAAACTCGGTAAAAACAGACGTTGACAGCCCTTTGGTGAAGATGTCAGCATACTGGGACGATGTAGGAACATGCAAGACACGAACTTCTCCAAGGGCAACGCGTTCACGAACAAAGTGTAGGTCAATCTCCACATGCTTAGTGCGCTGGTGCTGAACGGGGTTAGTGGAGAGGTAGACTGCACTGATATTGTCATAATAAACAATGGTGGCACGGCGAATGGGACAGCGAAGCTCACCCAAAAGCTGGCGGAGCCAACAAGCTTCAGCGACGCCATTGGCCACGGCGCGATACTCGGCTTCAGCACTCGAACGGGACACTGTCAGCTGACGCTTGGAAGACCAGGAAATGAGATTGTCCCTAAGGAAGACAGCATAACCGGAGATAGACTTCCGAATATCCGGGCATCCGGCCTAATCAACATCTGAGTAAACTGTGAGATCAATCGGCGACGTCCAATAGAGGTGGAGGCCGAGATCCTTACTGCCTTGTAAGTACCGCAGGATCCTCTTCATAGCAGCAAGATGAGGGTCTCTGGGTCGTGCATATGCAAGCATACTTGCTGAACAGCATAGGCGATATCCGGACGAGTGAAAGTAAGATACTGTAAAGCACCAGCGATACTACGGTAGTGAGTAGGATCAGACACCGACGTACCATCAGCAACAGACAATTTGGAGTGAGTATCCACAGGAGTGCTACAGGGCTTGCAATCGCGCATGCCAGTGCGGTCCAGAATATCCAGCAGATACTGTCACTGGGAAAGAAACATACATCATTACGACGCTCAACAGTAATACCTAGAAAATAGTGAAGGGGGCCCATGTCTGTCATAGAGAATTCCTAGCGAATAGCTGAAATGATCTGCTGAAGGAAACTCTGTGACGAAGCCATGAGCACAATGTCATCAACATAGAGAAGTAAGAAGGCCATCTCAGCGCCCCGGCAGTAAATGAACAATGACGTGTCAGGCTTGGCCTCCACAAATCCAAGAGAAGTAATGTGAGAGGCGAAGCGACTATGCCAAACGCAAGGAGCCTGCTTCAACACGTAGAGCGAGCGGTTTAGGCGACAGACATAATTAGGCCTCGAAGTGTCAACAAAACTAGATGGCTGAGCGCAGTACACTGTCTCTGTCAGAGTGTCGTGCAGAAAAGCATTCTTGACGTCAAGCTGATGGATCGGCCATGACCTAGAGAGAGCCAAACTGAGAACCACACGGATAGTAGCAGGCTTCACAACCGGACTGAAAGTCTCATCATAGTCAATCCTAGGACGCTGGGTAAAACCGCGCAAGACCCAGCGAGCTTTGTAGCGATCAAGAGTGCCATCTGACAGGAACTTATGGCGATAAACCCATTTGCCTATGACAACATTAACTCCAGGAGGCCGAGGAACCAATGTCCAGGTGTCGTTGGCCTGAAGAGCGTCAAACTCGGACTGCATGGCGGCATGCCAATTCGGGTCAGCGAGAGCCGACCGAAATGATGCCGGGAGCGGAGAAAGGACCGCCGTGCTTAGGTTGAGGCGATCCACCTGCTGAATAAAGCCGGATTTTCCACAGGTGCGCATGCCATGCACGTTGGTGACTGGCACGATGGCTTGCGGAGCGGTGGCGACCGTGCGACCGGTGGTGCACCGAGCACCGCTGGCAACGACCTGTGAGGCAGGGGCAGCGCCTACCGGTGGAGGGACCGGGGGCGTCGCTGGCAGCAGCCTGGGACAGGATGTCCTCAGGGGCAGCAACACCCGGTCCACTGGGGAACAGTGATGGGGACGCCCCACCAGCTGGTGGCGTCGCCGGGGCGTCAGCTGTCGGCATGAACACGGCAGGAGTCGCACCTGGAGAGACAGTACCTGCATGCACAGCACTAGGCCCAGCGGGCAAAATGGAACAATCATCATCGCTCAAAAAATCAAGGGTGGCAGGATCCAAGGGAGTGGTGGACATGTTAGAAAATGGAAAGGATGACTCATCAAACACAACATGCCGAGAGACGATAATCCTATTGGAGTGAAGATCAAGACACCTATACCCTTTGTGGTCCGCGGAATAGCCAAGAAAGACGCACAAGGATGAGTGAGGGGAGAGTTTATGTGGAGCTGTGGATGACATGTTGGAATAGCAGGCACATGGCCCATGGGCTTACACTCTAACATGCCCCCGCAGTCGGAATTGGGAGCACATCGAACATTCAGACTGGACCTAAACTCGGTAAAAACAAATGTCGCAGCCCTTTGGTGAAGATGTCAGCATACTGGGACGATGTAGGAATATGCAAGACACGAACTTCTCTAGGTGAGGATGGTGCAATCCATCTGCACCCACGCTGAGCGATCGAGATGGGCCACATCGGAGAGCACGTGATCCGTGAGCGTGTACTTGCCGAGGATGACGAGGAAGAGGTTGCGCTAGCGATTGTAGTTGTTGGCGGTGCGATCCAACGTGACGAGGATGAGCACCTTGATGTTGACGACGGCAAGGGCCTGGCCATGGACGGCGGCGTGCTTCAACTCGTAGGTATCGAGGGCAGCGAACGCGATCGGCTTCAGCCTTGGCAGCGGCCTCGCGCTGGAGGCGCTCCTCCTTGGCAGCGGCAGCAGCGGCGTTGGTATCTGAGGGCGCCATGAGGAGCGGTTGCGGGTGCGACGTGTGCAGAGGAAGAGGAAGGGGCCAACGAGATGAGATCCCAGCGACGGCAAGCCAACCGGCAAGGTTGTCTCGGCGGCGGTGGCTTTAGGGTTTGCGGAAGCGGAGAGGTCGCAGGAGCGAACCGTCTCTTGATACCATGAGAGAGTATTAGGGTTTGGATAATGCTCGATTAACATTGATTAGTGACAACCATTGAGTACATATAGGCACGATGGGGAGCCGGGATCGGTAGGCCCATGGCCCATGGGCTTACACTCTAACAACTCCCTCCATTTCAAATTATAAGACGTTTTAACTTTTGCTATGTACTTAGATATAAATTATGTCTAGAGGCATAGTAAAAACAATGTAACAAGAAAAGCCAAAACATTTTATATTTTAGAATATGAGGGAAGTATTTAATAAGACTATAAGAGCATGAATGCTCATTTCACATTGATCTTTTTTATCTTGAAATTAACCGTTTGTAGCTACTCCCTCCATTTCACTACATCGTTTGTTGATTTATCTTTCAATAGGGATCATCCAGGGGCCATTTGACTACAAGGCTAATGAAGCCAAAAAGTGAAGGGGGGAATACTAAGGCAAAGTTAGGCAATTCAGTTATGGGAATTGAGGCGGTTACATAGGTTCAACAAACATTTTGAATAGGGGTAAAACCAATGACCATGAAAGTTTGCGAAGATTTAGACGGATATACACTATGCATATTGTGATATACTATGTTGGACGGGAAGAAAAGGAAGCACTGTTGCACAAATGGTCATTTCCCTGTTGTCCTTAAAATTCATAACCGTTCCCCATTTAGGGTTGGTCTTGATGAATAACTTTGTCAAAGATCAAAATGATGGATCAGCTTTCCTCGGTTATAGTGACAAAATCCAAAAGCTTGTAAAAACCACATTTATGAAGTTTTTTTAAGATTTTTTCATGAATTTGTCATATATACTTTATTTCTATAGCTAGGGATAGATCTAGTTGTGTGGCGGGAGAGACTTAGGGAAAGGTTGGTGGATGGCCAGAACGTGTCACAACTTGTCACAACTCAAGATGTCTATAGTGTTTGATTCATCACTAAACTTATGGTGTGCCATAGATGTTTAGACATGCCGCAGTTCATTTTCTGTGCTAAAGATAACTAAAAGTCTGGCACCCTTTTTGTTGGCCAAACTTTTGGCAAGGCCAAAACTTAGATATGGCATATTCTAGTTGCAAACCGAACACACCTTTAAGCCTCTACTACTACACCACAAGCAATGGAGCACTTCCCTCTCCCTCAATATTCTTGAGGAGAAAAAAGAAGAGAAAGGAGAGAAAACATATGGGAAGGGAACGAGAAGAAAAGAGACAAGCCCCTAGACTTCATAGCTATAGCTCCGTGCTTGTTTGTAGCGGGTCATACTAGTCCATACTAATTGAATTAAGACGAACTGGCCATAAAGACAAGGAGAGCACTCCCCCTTCAAAAAAAATGCAATTCTAGCTTCAAATCTAGATAAAGTGCTTGTCTAGATTTAAAGGTAGAATTATATTTTTGTGGGATAGAGGGAGTATATTTATAATTATCAAAATCAATCATAAGCTTTCCTTGTCTCGCTTATCTTTTGGCACAACTTAAAAACATTGAGGAAGAGCTGAAAAAGGCTCAACTAACCACAACCAACTTGGTCTAAGGCCCAAGAATCGCATAACCTGTCAATGTACTAATGAAAAAGAAAAAGTCCACGTTACATTCCTCAACTTTTGCGAAAGTCTGCTTTTTTCTCCCTAAACTCTAAAACCGGGTAAACCACCTCCTTGAACTTTTAAAACCGTTTGTTTTACCTCCCTGATCGGTTATAAGCGGTTTTCAAATGCGGTTTTGTCTTTTTTATTTATTTATTTTGGTTGAATATTTGAAAAATCATAGTAAATCACAGAAAAAATCATAAAATGGAAAATCCAATTTTGTTGTACTCCACATGAGTAGATCTACATAGTGAACATATTATATGCTATGCTTTAGTATAAATTTTTTGTTGTACCTTTAAATCTATGCTTTTCTGTAATTAATTCATAGCTACAGTTTCTATGATCCAATTGTGGTGAAACTTTTATGGTAGGCTAATTATTGTATTCTTGAACTATAATAAAAATTTCATAGTCATTGGATCGTGTATAACTTAGTTATAGATTTATAAATACTTTTTAACAAGCATACACCTAGCTAAAAAATTAGTCAAAATTAGCTCTAATGCATCCACATAGGAGAGCTAATAGATGAGCTAATTTTTTAGACAAGTCTTCAACTACTTATTAACTAACTAGCTAGCCAAATATAGCTAATATGAGCTAATTTTTAGCCTGAACTATTAACTAGTCATGTGTATTCAAACATGCCCTCAATGTCACATTCGCATATGCGAAACAGGTGAAATGTTTCTGATTCTGGTGAATTCTTCTAATATTGTTACCAAATGTTTCATCCTAAATCACCTTGAAATATTCCTCATTTTAACCTAAGACAGAATCACCTCAAAAGATGTTTCTCGCTGAGTCTAGTTAATGAAATTTTTGGATCACCGTATATTTCAACGAGAATTTGGATGTGAAACATTCATGAAAGAATCTAGATTATAACAAATGAGCCATTGAACAGGAAGTACTTTTGCCAGTAGGAAGCCTTTCTAAGGCGTCTAGAGCAGTTCGGATTGGAATCCAAAAGGCTGGATCCGAACAAGGTCGGTTTTTTAGGTTTATCGGAAGTTCATTCCGATGTTCGTCGGAAGTTCCGATCTTCGAAACTTCTGATGTCGGATGAACCTGTAAAGCCAACAAGTTTTTTTAGGTTTCTCAAAACTTCCGAGATATGTCAGAACTTCCAACGTTAGAGCATCTTCCCGAGGATGTAAGTTCTTCATCCAAACTACAAATTGGATGTTCCATATATGTTTTTTTACCATATCGACGAGAGGAACACAATGAAGTCCATTCTACATTTTGATAACTTAACAAGATGGACAATTTTGGTTGTCAACGATAGGACCTTGGATAGAGGCCATTGGAGAATGATTTTTGTTATATAAACCTTAATTTGGGCTCTAAAAGGTTAAATAGAAGAACTTTTAGAGATACCCTACATGAAGCAAGGTATCTGGTTCCAAAGAAGAGATGCATCACATTTACATGCTTGGAGCTGGAGCAGCTCTGATGGCTTGTGCATCCATGAATGTTGTGTTTCTAAATACCGCCTCCGTCCTAGCTATAGGAATGCGTTTATAGCTGTCCAAGGGCGCGGTGGTGGTGCAATCACCAAGGACACGGCAACAAGCGGATGGACATGGCGCAGGGCATGACAACATTTAGTTGTGGCGTCTCAGCAGCTGTGTGGCGGTCGGCGTCATTGGCAATCAGGCAAGTTGCTACTGGTGCCAGTTCAAGTTTCAGACGCTGAACCAGCCTTGTTCATCAATCTGATTCTCATAATTCAAAACATAATCAACCTAGTCGACCTTGATAAAAGTTGTTCCTAATTCAAAGATCTATGATTATTGTTGAAGAACATAGATCAAACTCTCAACTGTTTGAGAGATAAAAAAATCCTAGTGAGCACTGAGCACCCTCAGATCACATGGAGATCCAGTTGCTAGGTTGGTTTTCATTGCCGATTCGTAGCTAGGACCGGCAGTGATAGGTAGGTTTTCAATGCCGGCTCGTGGCTCTAACCGACAATAATAGGTTGTTTTGCATAAAAAAAACATATTTTTTCAGATGAAGTTAGATCTAGACATTTTTGTACTAAAATTGTAGAGTTCAAAGCGATCTGAAATTTTGTAGTTTACAGCTTTTTAATTTGAGATGGTTTATATATCCAAATATTCAATATAAGTTCTCGAATCGGATTTGAGATGGTTGACAATGTCAAATGGAGACAAATTCAACATTGAAGTTATAGTGCTCGACGAAATCTACAACTTTGCAAAGGATCATTTAGAGTGTCAAATATACAATATAAGATTTATATATGTGTAGTTAAAAGAATAACATCAGTTATATAGTCACAAGTACTGTGTATTTGTGTAGCTTAGATGGTATGGGCGTTTGAGACAACATTGAGATCCTGAGTTCTACAGAGCTTCATCTTGTGTAGACATTTCAAATATGTTTGATTCTTCCGGTAAAAGACCTCAGGTCAGCACATGCACGTATGGTAAATTTTATCAGCGTTTGAATTCGAGTTCTCTGTATTAAAGGATTAATCCGCAACTTCTACTGATCTGCATTCAGTTTTCAAGGTATGAGTTCGACGCTGGACAATGACAATTGCAACTTGATGCTGTTTCAAACTATTTTATTTGCCAGTTGCCAACGCCGAACTGCTTTGGTTCTTTGACTCCCAAGACGGGAATCACCTAAAAGGCACAATTGACTGCTGGAGCTAGTCTTTGCCGGGTTGGTGTCCAGTTAACATCAGTCTGTCGAAGGAAGTGATCCAACAATTTACAGTCCAAGACACAAGCAAGGGTCTTAACATTTCCCTCACGAACATGCAAATTAGCAAGGGAACATTGCATGATTAGCTGAACTTAAGACAAGTAAACTGGGCAACAGCCTTCCAGATCGCCGGTCGGTCATGCACCGCATCGACTAGAAGAGTAGAAGGATTCTAGTCGACACGGGGAAAAAACGATGAATGGCAACTGTGCCTTAGATTTTGTGTAGATCCGAGGCACAGGCGAACAGGTCGAGGATAGACCCAAAATGACCATGTCATCCGCGTCTTGGAAAGGTCGGTTTTTTATCGCGTCTAGGGAAGGTCGTATTTTTTTTATCGGATTGCAGTTGCAGCCGAAGTTTCGCTAGGATGATTGCGGGCGTGTTTTGATCACCGAACTAGAGTTTAGTCCGTCACGAGATAATAGGTTAAATATGGACTAATCAAAAAAATTATAATGAGTACTAGCCGTTAATTAGCCTCTGTTAGCTCTTATAAGTCCATGATAGTTCATATGTAGTCCTATTTGACATCCAAAAACAGAACCAAAGTTTAGTTACGGTGATACAAAGACGCCCTGGAGTTTGACGCCTTGTGCCAGACTTGCCCGTCCACAGCATCATTAGCTCTACTGCTCTAGAGCACCAATTCTCAAAACTGTCACTAATAGATGTTTAGAACTGAGAAAGGCTCTGAAGACCAACCCTTTGCAGCAGGCCGAACAAAAACTGTCGAGACAAAACGCATGCCACCAATAGATGATTCATTGTTTCATCAGTTCTAAATCAATCATTGACGAGTTGGTACATTGGCGTATTTGTCGTCTGTTTAATTGCACAAAAATGATAAAAGAATATAACGACAAAAAACATAATCTGAACATAAATTTCCATAATAATATGATAATACAAAAGGTGACACAAAATATTCTTTTGAAGTAAATTTATACCAAACCTAATTGTTTTACATACACGAGTGACCTAAATACTTTCTCTCTGTAGTTATCAGCGGTCAAGTTAAGAAGGCTTGGCTACTCGACAAATTCTAAAAATGGCGTAATTCTAATTCTTCTAGCAGTTTGTGTATGTGGTGTTGCAATCACGTACAGGCTAACTTATATATTCTAAATAAATCCCACTTGACAGGTGAGGTAATCCCACTTGACATGTGAGGTAGCTCCTAGTGGTGTCAGTAGTCATACAAGACCAGCCTATACTTAGGACTAGGTAAGCCTATAACATTTCCAAACAATTCCCCTTACTGGTAACAAGATTCTTCACTTCTTCAGTCCACGCGCTTGTGCCTGGGATGAAGCTTCTTGCAGACAAGTGCTGAAATATAAGATAGATGGAAGTGTTGTAGCAGTATCCATTACAGCAAATACATCCCGTGCATTTCCATGGAGTAGAGAGCTGCACAAGGAGAGATGGTTGGGGTGACAGCGAGTGCTCTCATGGGGGTGATGAACCCCCTCCTCAGCAACCTCTGCGCCCTGTTGGACAGAGATGATGTCAAGCTTGAAGGTGTGCATCGGCAGATTGTCTTTCTGCGGGATGAACTAAGTAGCATGAGCACCACACTGGAGATGGTGTCAGAGTCAGAGGAAGCAAACCCGCAAGTGAAGGAGTGGATTAGTCAATTGAGGGAGCTGTCCTATGATGTCGAGGATTGCATTGAGATCTTCATGCATCGCCTTGGCCGTGTTGACACCTGCGATGGATTCATCAGCAAGATCATAAACAAGGTTATCACTCTGAAAACACACTATCATATTGGTGTACAGGTTAGTGAGCTTAAGGAACGTGTGATGGAGATTAATGACCGGCGCAAAAGATATAAGATCGATCCATCCACCTTTTCTCCAAAGTTTGTGGCAATTGATCCCAGGTTGCCTGCACTCTTTGAGGAGGCAGATAGACTTGTGGGTATCAGTAGCCAAATGGACAAACTTGTCAAGTGGCTCACTGATAGCACTAGTACTTTGCACACACAGCGTAAGGTTGTGTCAATTGTTGGATTGGGTGGATTAGGCAAGACAACACTTGTTAATCAGATTTTCCAGAAGGTCCGAAGTCAATTTGACTGCACGGCTTTTGTCTCTGTGACCCGAAGTCCTAATGTCAACAAGATTCTCAGTGACACACTATTGCAGTTTCTTAAGAGTAGCCCAATTACAGCAGATCAAAATCAAGACACTGAAAGGGTGCAGGAAGATCTTTATCTCAAAGCATTAGAATATCCACAGCTTGTGAATATGAATAGAGACTATCTTCAGAATAAAAGGTACCTAATAAATTCTGTAAACTTATTATTATATTGAGATTCCAGAAGCTGTTATTATCTACAACATGGCATTCTTCTCTTTGTATATTCAGTTCACTTGTGAGCATATGCACAATGGAAGTAAAAAAAATCAAACAGGTATATAGAAATTGTTTTTTCTAGGTAGAAACTTTGTTAGGTAAAATAAATAAAAAAGCAGTCCTAAAACGTTACAGTTCTCACGTGGCTGTGCATGGCTTTAAAGTTTCAGCAGTGACATGTAAATTTTTAGAGTTTATCATAGGATGCTCTTGTCTATGCAGACATGGCAATGTGCTATTTATTGAGTAGATAGTTCATACTTCATAGTCTACCTTGCTTTGTTTATTTAATAATGGTGACTGAACACTCACTGGATTGCTACTAATGCAATGCTTCATTTTCTACAAACTATCTGATAGGTACCTTGTCATAATTGATGATATATGGAGCAAACAAGCTTGGAAACAACTCCAATGTGCTTTCCCACACAACAATAATTCAAGTAAAATAATGACGACTACGCGAATTGAAGATGTTGCTAAATATTGCAGCTTTCCACACAAAGAATATGTTTACCCTATGATGCCCCTTGATAGTAATGACTCAAAAAGCTTGTTATTGAAAAGGATATTTGACAATGAAGATGACTTCTCTCTTGAATTGAAAGAAGTTACTGATGATATACTAAAAAAATGTCATGGCTTACCACTGGCTATAGTTAATATTGCTAGCCTATTAGCAACCAAACCAATCTCTAAAAGGGAGTGGGAGAGGGTGCGGGATTCTCTTGGATCTGCACTTGAACAAGATCATGAGCTGGAATTAGTTAAAAAGATATTGTTTCTTAGTTACTGTGATCTACCTCACTATTTGAAGATATGTTTCTTGGATCTAAGCATATTTCCAGAGGATCATGTGATTGGCCGGTCGTGTTTAATAAGGAGATGGATAGCTGAAGGATTTATTGCACAACAACAAGGGCAACACTTAGAGGATACTGCAGAAAACTACTTTAGCGAGCTCATGAATAGAAACATGATTGAACCAGTGGGCACTGACTATAGTGGAAGGCCAAGAGCCTGCCGGGTACATGATATAATGCTTGATCTTATTATATCATTATCAGTTAAAGAAAATTTTGTTACTATAATGGCTGATCATAAGTTGACACCATCGACTAACAAAATTCGGCGTCTCTCACTCCAAGGAAACTATGCAGAGCAGAGTTGCTGGCTTGGGACGAACAGCTTGTCTCAAGTTCGGTCACTGAGTGTATTTGGTGATGTCAGGAAGATACCCTCTCTCTTGGATTTTCAAGTTTTACGAGTCCTAGATATACAAAACTGTTCTAGCCTAGAGGACAGAGACATTGAAAATATTGGAAGTTTGATCCACTTGAGGTATTTAAGTCTCTATAATAGCAACATTGGTAATATCCCAATACAAATTGGAAAGCTAAAACATTTGCAGACACTCGATCTCAGAGCTACCAGAATAAAAAAACTGCCAGCAACTATTGCTCAACTACACCAATTAGTGCGCCTATGTGTGCCTAATGGTGTAGAATTACCAAATGGGATTGGTAATATGGCAGCTCTAGAGGAGCTTTCAGTGTTGGATGCTAGCAAAAATTCCCCAGAAGTTGTGCAGGAGTTAGGATACCTAACCAAACTGAAGGTGCTTGGGATTAAGTGGTGTGCTGACAGTGCAATTAATGATGAAGGAAACTTTAAGAAGTCTTTGATCTCATCGTTCTGTAATCTTGGAGAAAGAAACCTTCATTCTCTAAAGATTGAGACTACAGAACGTTGTTCTATGGATTTTTTGTTTGATTCATTGTGCCCTGATCCATGTCATATGCAGAAGTTTAGCAACAGCCCCATTTTCTCTAGGCTCCCAAAGTGGATATCCAACCTCTCAGTACTCACCAACTTAGTTATTTTTATAGAAGAAGTGGGAGGTGGAGACGTGTATGTGCTCAAAGACTTGCCTGCACTACGCTGCCTCCAAATTTTTACAACAGAATACTTGCAGGAATCGCTCATCATCAGAGCCGGTGGATTCAAGTGTCTGGAGGATTTCCATTTTCGCCCTTCCATGTACTTAAAAAAGAAGGGAATGATGAGTCTGATATTTGAAGCAGGAGCAATGCCAAGGCTCAACCGGCTCTGGTTTAGATTCGTTGTGCATGATACTCTATCTGCATATGGAGCCGGTTTTGACTTTGGCATTAGCCTACTTTCCTCCCTCAAATGTCTCTGGGTCAGTATTAATTGTCGAGGAGCAACAGTTTGGGAGGTGGAGGTTGCCAAGGCCACCATTACAAATGCAGCAGCTCGACTTCCCAACCATCCAAGGCATGAAATCCATACATTTGGGGAAGAGGAGATGGTTGAGAACGAGGAGCAGGAGGAGGATGGCCATGCTGCAGGCCAACAAGACAGCACCACCACATGACAGAGTAAGATTCTTAAGGTTTTCAAAGACAGCTTGCTGCACCAGCATTTATTCTCTTTTCTTATGTAGCTGGTATGTGTTATTAATGAAAGTGCGTGATTCCTTTGCCGTTGTTCAGGTGTCATCAGGAGTACTGATTAATCCATACATGTTTTGGTTGATAAAAACAAACGCTGTGAAAAATAGCATGCTGTCTGCAGAGTGCTCCAATCATATATTGTGGCAAATTTCAAAACTGATAAGATTGGAGTGGCATGGATCTAACTAAACCTACTTTATACGGTACTCTACAATAGTTTTGCCTCAACTTGGTTCTCCAGCATTCACTTACTGATAGTCTTGATTACTGTCTAAAGAAACAGAGAGTACAACTTTCCAAAAGTAGTACAACACATGCTTTTTGGAATGTATTATGTTGTCAAATTTTGTTCTTGAACAGTAAGGCAGAAAGTCCGAATAAGCAAGGTGTCCATAAGGCCAAATAACTTTTTATAGTTAGAAAGTTTAGGCTAGTAAACTAGCTAGATACCATTAGGGCTCAAGTCCCTTTATCATATTGCCAGTTTAATTAGTATCTTATTAGTTTTGGCCTACCAATAAACCCCAACCAGAGCCTTGTATATTATGATAACTTTAACCAAATAATCAGATCTATATTCCAGACTTTCCTCACATTTAAATGGTTAAACATTGGGTGCAAACCACCCATATTAAGGTATAAATATGTCACTAAGTCTGAAAATGTCCAAGCTGATACTATTTTCAGATGGAAATACCACACTGCACATATATATCAACAAATGTTTCCCTGACCGTTGCCACACAAGAAATCAGTGACATCTGAAACTAACCTTGCAGGAATTGGTGTTTCATTTTCAACAATTGTGTGTGGTAACTTTGTCATACATATAACTTCCATCTTTTCAAAGATTTCCATCCCAGATTTTCTGCCATTCCAGACAATTATGTTGTAAGTACAATTGCTAGGATTTGCTAAAAATGGGTAAATATCATGTGGCACAGAAGAAACCATGCAAGGAGAACTATGTCACAATTAGAGAGTACTGTCCACAATGAAATGTTGCCACTTTTATCTTTGCATTGATAGAAAGATTAGAAAAGTTATAAACAGAAGAAAAGAGAATCTATATAGCCACTGTGACTCATCATTTTAGGAAGACAGATGTCAAATCTAGTCATGAAGTATACGAGCATCTATAAAAATATATGGGCCAAAAGGCTATCTTAAAGCCATTTCTCAGTGGAGCATTTCTCTGTGTTATGATTTATGAATGTGTAAAATGAGTCCATGTGTCGTATTTCTGATTTGTCTGGTTCTGGAAAACTTAAAATGTGCAGGTATCTTCAAGACAAGATGTGAATGGCTAAGACTAGATTCATGCTTCGAAAGGAATGATGCAAGCCGTGGTTCAGATCAGAGTGCAAGACATGACTAGGCCACAGCTATGTATACTGATTTAACAGTCACATTACATACAAAAGCCGAAGGGTTAACCTCACCGTTTGGTTTGTGGTTCCTGGATCCAAAATGACCCTTTATTTGTGCCTTCGGAATCGAAAGTAAGACTTATCTCTTTTTGATTTATTATATAGATTCAAAATACATTCAGTTATATGAACCACAACTTGTCTCTGTACATGAACTATAATTGTACGAATTAGGTAATTAACCAATTTTCAGTTTAATCCTTGCCGAATGAGGGAAACAAAAGAGACAGTAATCCTTTTTACAGTATATGCAACATCCTGGCTTAATATATCATGACGTCACAGATCGAAATCATCATTGCAGGAATGTAGAAAAACTCCGCAACAAACAGCAACAAAGGTGGTTTGACTGAGTTCCAGACGCTCAAGTTCAGAAGAATAACATTCATAAAAAAGGATAGGTTCAGAAGCTAGAGTGGAATTCACCGTTGAGTTGTTGTTGGCCCGTGATTACCCCTACCCGCCTGGCGCCTGACCGCTGTGGGGTTCGCCTCCTCCTACGACTTCCGAGCAGCCGGTCCCGGAGCCTCGCCATTCATGCGCCGCTGACTCGTTGAGCCTCCGTACGGAATCGGCTCCGCGGTCTCTCGCGCATCCGCCGCGGTGCCTCGCCCATCGCCGAGACGCCGCCGCTATGGATTATGATGGTGGGCCTTGGCCCCCTTCATTTCCGGCTTGGGCCCTAAACTGTTTCACAGGCTGAAGTGTTTCCGGATTTTAGTTTTTTTGTTAAGTTTCTATGTCTATATGAGTTGCATGAGCTCGATCGTAAAACGAATTGAGATTGAATAGTGTTTAGGCACATTACGGATTTTGATTTTCAGACGAATTGAAATACGTTTGATGCGATGATTGCTAAATAAATCTCCAAATCGCAAAGGGCATTACTAGCGCGTGGACGTCCGAAGCCGCCCAAAATATCGGACACCTCCGGTCCTTCGCTTGGGAGGCCGTGCCGCATGCGAAAGAAGCCCATGCCACTTGTTTTTGTGCGCCCCACCACGTTGGCCCCACGCTACTATCGTCCTACCATCGCGCTCCCTCTTTTTCGCCTGACTAAGGCGCCTGCACTCAGGAACCCACGTGGATCCCAGCCACCTTCCCCTGCCTGTGGATGTCGTGGCGCAGATGCGTCTGTTGACCTCAAGCGTCCGCACGGTGACCCACGGTGGCGTCCTAGCAGCTGCAGCATGCGACTGCGGCAGATGGGTCTCATTGCAATGTGTGCAATATCCGATCTACTTTTTAATATTCAGATGAAACACTTGCAACGTATGTGCGAAACAGTTAAAACACTTGCAACATATGTCTAAAACACTTACAAAACACCTTAAAACTTAAAAATACATGTATAGCCATTGCAAACATATGCAAACATTCAGATGAAACACTTGCAACATACATATGAAAACACCTGAAACACTTGCATATATATGCAACATCCAAATCTACTTTTGCAACATCAAAATGAAACACTTGCAATATACGCCTAAAACAGATGAAATATTTAGAAACATATACTTAAAACATACGTGTATAGCCATTGCAATATGTGTAACATCCCGATCTACTTTTGCAATATATTATAAAATACTTGCAACATACCTCTAAAACATCTAAAATATACGCTTGCAACATACGCTTTTAGCGCAATGTCACCTTGCTGCTTGGACGAATAAAGGCTCGCGGCACGCAGAGCTCGATGCCCGCGCGAAGTGGGTGGGTGGGGGGAGGGGTGCAGCGGGTGGGCGGGTGCAGTGCCCGCGGTGAGCGACCCCGTGCTGGAGAAGGCCACGGCTGGCGGGCGGGTGTGGTGCCCACGACTGGCACCCTTGCGCTGGAGAAAGGGCACAGAGGAAGGAGATTAGTCGTCTCCGGCGGGAGCGAGCATCGCGAGCGGGGTGCGAGTGTCGCAGGCACGGATGGGAGCGAGCATCACGGGCGGGGTGCACGATGAGCGGGAGCGAGCGGCGCTGACTGGGAAGCGCGGTGTCCGAACGGATCAATGCCCTAAGGAGAGCATTACCGAATCGCAAATCATCTAAATAACCACACAACAAGCTGAACACCTATAATCTATATGGATATACTTCGGTTTAGTCTTTTGAAGTATATTGTTCTTGACGATAAATCGACAACATAAAGGTTGAAAGCATCTAGGCCCCTAGTTGAGTTTCGGTGATTAATGACAATATGTGATTACTGTGACTAACGTATGTTTTGTAGAGGCAATTAAGTTAAGTCACGGTAATGGTAATTGATTGGGCAATCATGGTTGTCATGCCCCTACGATGGAAATCGTTTCGGTTTTCAAAGGATGGACGACAAGGTTAAGGATGGACTAGTTCTAAGTGTCGTTTGGCGTTGAAGAGGCACTTAGAGTAGTTTAAGACTTTGTTTTTCCTTTGGCCGTACTATTAAGGGGGGTATGGACGGGTAGCTTGACCTAGATGAGTCTAGTGGGTTAGGTGTGGTGCACACTTGTCAAATCTAGCACTAGGTAGCTCCTAAATAGCCCTAAGATCAATTGGAGCAAACTTCATTCACATATGATTGCGAGTTGAAAGTGAATGAAGGGTCAAATGTTGACCGGACGCTGGTTCCGGTGTGACCGGACGCTGGCGCAGAGTCCGGTCAGTTCATTTGATCAAGGTGAAGTCGTCTGGATGCGACCGAACGCTGAGTGAAATGTGACCGGACGCTGGGTGCCAGAGTCCGATTAACTCCAGTAAGGTCTTAGAGAGGGAGAATCCTGATCGGACGTGTCCGGTCAGTGCTGACGGGACGCTGGTCAGGTTCTGGCTACTGACCTGACGCTGAGCAGCAAAGTGACCGGGCGCTGGGTTCTAGAGTCCGGTCAACATCAGTAAGGTTCTAGAGGACAGTTTTTGTGACCGGGCACGTCCGGTCAGTGCTGACCGGACGCTGGTCAGTGTCCGATCACAACTTAACTGCTTGGAGGCGGGGAGAACTGACCGGAGTGTCTGATCACCTTGACTGGAGCGTCCGGTCATCCCACAGTGACACATAACGGTTTGTTTTGAATGAGAGGTTATAAATACTTCCTCTATTCACTTAAGGGATCACTTTTGCTTATTCCAATAGCTAAGAAACACCCTTGAGAGTGCCAAGAAGAGCAAGGTCCTAGTGAGGTGATTGAGATTTAAGAATCTAAGAGAGAGGCCTCATTAGTGAAAGCAAGAGTATCAAAGTGTGCATCTACTCATCTCATTAGACTTGTCGTGGTCAAGTGAGAGTTTGTGCTTGTTACTCTTGGTGATCACCATCACCTAGATGGCTTGGTGGTGATTAGGAGCTTGGTGATCATCCGACGGAGCTTGTGGATGACCCAACTCAAGTTGTCAGTGGTTGTGGGTGATTCACCGCGACGGAGTATCGAAGAATCAACCCGTAGAGAGCACTTGATCCTTGCACGGATCAAGGGGGAGCTACACCCTTGCGCAGGTGCTCCAACGAGGACTAGTGGGGAG